TCGGGGGAGCGTAAGACCCGGGTTTGCCAGGACTCGGGTTCGTCATCGTTTTTTGACGACCGCGCCTCGGATTTTGACGAGGAGGAGTTTCTCGGGATGTCTGCAGCGGGAGGCCTCGTCAAAATGCAGGCTCGGCCTCGTCATTTTTTTGACGACCTCGTCGGGGATTTCCGAGTCCCCTGTGCCCAGGTCTTACGTCCCCCTGAGACATCACTCGGAGTGGAGAAGAGGAGCGGGCACAAAGCATAAACTCTCGGAGCTGCGCGAGGCTGTCTTGGGCCGGCGCCGGCTCCCCCCCGCCTGGGCGGCGCCTCTGGCGCAAACCCTGGGGGTGGGGGTCCAGCGTCAGGTCGGGCATGTCCCCCGACAGGCGGAGTTCGGACGAAAAATGATACATAGTCAAGCCGTATTCAAACAGAGTTCAAAAACACCAGGACAATCGTCCCCAGGCGATCTTTTTAAAACCGTTTTTGAATATGTTCTTCCTGTAGAGGGACAGGCCCGACTTACGTCCAGCGCCGATCCGAGAGAGCCGCGCGGAGCTCGGAACGTCTACGTCGGTGCCGCCTCGTTGCCCCTCCGGACATCACCTACAACCGCTTGGGGCACGACCAGCTGGCGCGGTGCCTGTCGCGCCTGCACGCCCTCCACGGGCCGGCCCCCCCCGCCGTGTGGCTGGCGCACCACAGGACCCCAGATCACCGAGCGCGCTCCACTGCGCGCAGAGTGCCGCGGCGTGTCCAGGCCATCTGCGGCGCATCCAGGTCGCAGATCCCCCGCGGCGTATCCAGGCCATTTGCGAGCAGGCACTCTGCGAGCAGTGGAAAACGCGCTCGTCTGCCAGACCTCCGTCGACTCGGATCTCGCGCCGCGTCGCCGCTGCACCGCCGCTGCGGCTCGCTGTGGAGCTCGACCTTCTCCCCGCCGGCGCCGCCGGTGCCTCGGCGACGCATCGCCGATGCCTCGGCGAGGCGGCGCGGTCCTCCGACCCCAGCTGCTCGGGCCCCTGCTGGGGTGCCTCTGCGTCGGCACGGCCTCGTGAGGCTCACCGCTGCGAGTGCGTCGCCACCCCAGTGGGGCGGCGCGCGCGCTCGGACGCATCGCAGCGTCTGCTCGGTGGCGGGCGCTGGCTGGCCGCACCGTGCCGCCTGGGCAGCGATGTACCATCACACTCCAAGGGGCCCAAGGACACACAAATAAATACACACAAATGAAATGATTCCCCATATTTTTCCATATTTTCTGGGTTTTTGTCTTCCCGCCCAATTCCCACATTTCCGGGGAGTCGACGATTAATTGTGTCTGTGTGTTCTTTTCCCTCCTGACATACACCTGTTTGAGTTGTGCGTTGGGTTCTCCGAGGGGGCCGCATCGCACTGCAGCCTCGGAAAGCTTTTCTCCTGACGCCGCCACACACGCCCATGCGGATTCACAGCGTGTTGGGGATTTCCACACCCATGCCGTGTTAGGTTCTCCAAGGGGGGTGCATCGCACTGCAGCCTCGGAAAGGTTTTCTCCTGACGCCGCCACGCACGCCCATGCGGGTTCACAGCGTGTTGGGGATTTCCACGCCCATGCCGCCCGCCTTGTTGTAGCGCAGGCGTGTTGCGTGTGGGCCACAATGTGTATTCGTAACACCGTGCCATTACGCCAGCTTGCACAAACCCATCACGACAGTTGTTAATTACCCAGTCAGTGTCGAAGAACATGTGACACATCCCACTGTGCGTTGTGACCGCATGGCGCCCATAAAGGATGTTGATCATCCGGGCATGCTTTTGCGGATTTGTTGCTTCGTCCAGGTCAAGCTATGCAATGTGCGAGGCCGTCTGAAGCGAAACCAGGCCCAAACCAGGCCAAGCCAGGCAAATGTTGAAGACGTCTCAAGCGAAGCCGGGCCCAAACCAAGCCAAACCAGGGCCACGCCAGGCAAACTGTGAGGAGGTCTCTCTCAGGCGAGACCAGGCCCGAACCAGGCCAAACCAGGGGCCAACCCAGGAAGATGTGGAGGATGCCTCCGGCGGGGCGCGGGGCCGAGCCGGGCCAAATCAAGGGCCAGACCTGGAAGACGTCCCAGGCGGAATCGCCCGCACCAGGCTTCCTCCACTCGCCTGCACAAGGTCAGCATGAAGGGAGTGGATCAGGAGGGGAAAGAACACACAGACACAATTAATCCTCGATTCCCAGAAAATATGGGAAAATATGGGCAGTGGGGGGGAAGACAGAAACCTAGAAAATATGGGAAAATATGGGACATATTTTTATTTGTGTGTATTTATTTGTGTGTCCCAGGGCCCCTTCAGTGGAGCACCCCAGGCCGCCCCCCCCCCCGCAGGCGGAGGCCTGTTTAGAATTTCATGGGGGGGCGTTGGGGCCGCGCGCCCGCCGATGCAGCGGGGGCTGGGTGCGGCGGTTGCCCCCTTGCTTGTCGGGGGGCCTTTGGTGTGGCGTTCGGAGAGCTACTGCTGCCAAGCCTGTAGTTCACCGCCCACCAAACCACCCCAACCCAACCCGAAGGCCCCGATTTGCCCTCCATTTCCAGTGGGGGGGGTGTCCGGGAACATTGAACAAACACATATGGATCCCGTACCCCCCCCCACCCGAAATTCGGGTCTTCGGGTTGGGTTGGGGTGGTCTGGTAGGTAGTCAGTAGTATGTCCTTCGGGGCCCCACCGTGGAGCTCTCGTCCCTTTCCCAAGGGCCGTCTGCTCGTCCTCGCTGCCTTTTGGCGGTCGTGAGTCCCAGAAGCGGCCCCCTGGACGCCGAAAGATGCAAAGCCTGCGGGCCCTTAGCTGCCTCGATACGCCCGTTTTGAAACGCAACACGTCCCGTGTTCAAGACGTCCGTGCCAATACGTTGTGTGTCGGCTCCGCGCATTGGCCCACGTTTTGGCGAACGTATCGCGTCGGACCCGCGTATTCAGCCCACGTGTTGAGCTCCGTATCAATACGCTACGTGTCGCGTGTCGCGTATCGGGACAGCTAAGTGCGGGCCTCTTCTCGAGTCGCAGAGGTCTGAGGATCAGAAGCCGGGCAAGGGCTGCTAAATCCGTGGCTGCTGAAGTCAACCTCCGGGAAGCTGTCTTCGTCCTTCCAGGGAGTTGTTTTTTTCCATTCCAGGAGGGCCGTCTAAGCAGCCACGGTTTTAGCCCAAGCATTTTCTTTGGGTGGAGGGCAAAGGGTGAAATCTGAAATGCCGTTTCGATGGAGGTTCGAGGCTTGAATCTGCAAAACGTGGATCACAAGACGGATTGGTTTTCGAGGTGCGAAAGCCCATCTGGATTTCACCCTGAGCCCTCCACCCTAATAAAATGCTCACTTAGCAGCCCTCGCCCAGCTTTCGAGAGGAGGTTTCCCGGAGACCTGGGCTCCCTGAGCGAGGCGCTGAGGCGCGCCGGCCTGACCTCGGCAGCGCTCCATGAGGCCGGCGAGGTGGTGATCCTGGGCGTGCGCCCCGGCGGCGCAGCAGAAGGTTAGTTCGGTTGTTGTTGTTGTTGTTGTTGTTGTTGGTGTTGGTGTTGGTGTTGGTGTTGGTGTTAGTGTTGGCGTTGTTGTTGTTGTTGTTGTTGTTGGTGTTGGTGTTGTTGTTGTTGTTGTTGTTGTTGTTGTTGGTGTTGGTGCTGTTGTTGTTGTTGTTGTTGTTGTTGTTTTGTTGTCGTCGTCGTCGTGGTTGTTGTTGTTGCTGCTGCTGCTGCTGTTGTTGTTGTTGTTGTTGTTGTTGTTGTTGTTGTTGTTGTTTCTGCTGCTGCTGCTGCTGCGGCTGTTGTTGTTATTGTTGTTGTTGTTGATGTTGTTGTTGTTGTTGTTGTTGTTGTTGTTGTTGTTGTTGTTGTTGTTGTTGTTGTTGTTGTTGTTGTTGTTCTCTCATTCTTAAAGAATACTTATTGTTGATCCCCCCACCGGTGCACATGTTTTTTTTTTCAGTTGAAGTGCCCCTGGCGGGGCTCGCACCTTGTTTTTTGTCCAGGAAAGTCTCCCTGCTCAAACTTGCCCCCTGGCCCCCGGGTTACAACAACAACGGCTCCCGCCTGAGACTTCCTCACAATTTAGCCAGGACCCCCGCTCCCGCCCGAGACTTCCTCGCATGTTATTCAAGAATCGCGCTCTCGCTTGGGACTTCCTTACGATTTATTCAGGAATCGCTCCTCGTGCGCTCTGGAGTCGCGCTCTCGCTGGAGACTTGCTTGCAATTTGCTGAACAATAGCGCCTTTGCGTTGGCATTTCTTGCAATTTACTCCAGCGCCGCGCTCCCGACACCCAGGCACCCAGGAGTCGCGCTCACGCTTAGGACTCCTTCACAGATTACATAGGGATCGGGATCTCGCTGCCCTTCGTGGCCCCGTTGCAGCCCTTCGTGGCCCCCTCGCTTTGTTTCGTGACCCCGTTGCAGCCCTTCGTGGCCCCCTCGCTTTGTTTCGTGGCCCCGTTGCAGCCCCTCGTGGCCTCCTCGTTGCCCTTCGTGGCCCCGTTGTAGCCCTTCGTGGCCCCCTCGCTTTGTTTCGTGGCCCCGTTGCAGCCCTTCGTGGCCCCCTCTCTGCCCTTCGTGGCCCCGTTGCATCCCTTCGTGGCCCCGTTGCAGCCCCTCGTGGCCCCCTCGCTGCCCTTCGTGGCCCCGTTGCAGCCCTTCGTGGCCCCCTCGCTTTGTTTCGTGGCCCCATATCTGTATGCCCTTCGTGGCCCCCGCTCGTTCGCGCCCGTGGTGGCCCCATATGCATGCCCTTCGTGGCCCCGCTGTCGCCCTTCGTGGCCCCCTCGCTGCCCTTCGTGTCCCCGTTGCAGCCCTTCGTGGCCCCGTCCGTACCCTCCGCGGCCCAACATACGCATGCCCTTCGTGGCCCCCCGCTCGTTCGCGCCCGTTGTGGCCCCATGTGCGTGCCCTTCGTGGCCCCGCTGTCGCCGTTTGTGGCCCCCTCATTGTCCTACGTGGCCCAGGTGCTACCCTCAGTGGCCCCATCGTTGCCTTCTGTGGCCCCGCATTATCTGCCCTTCGTGGCCCACGC